TCTTATAAACCTGCCTAGGAATTGACTCTTTCAGTTACTGCAAAGCAGAGAACCAGTAGAACTGTTTATCTTATAGATTCCCTATTAATGTCTATATTTTCTGGCTGTGTAATCTTGGGCAAAGTACTTGAATTTCCATAAGACCACATTTCCTGCTCTGGGATGGGGACATACTGGCATCTGTTATTAGACTGTCTATGGCGCTCATATCAATAATATGATCCTCATGTCATGTGGCAGCTTCTACTTAATGGTATTTTGCTATGAGACATGAAGCATCCTAAAACAGGTATCTCTGAGCTCAGTGTCACGTTTTCCTAAATTGTGCTTCACTTTGTCCTTCCCTTAAAAAAATTATTTGTTTTGTGTTTGGTTGGGCTGGGTCTTCATTGCTGCGTACGGGCTTTCTTTAAGTTGTGGCGAGTGGTGTTCACTCTCTAGTGGCGGTGCATGGGCTTCTCATGGTAGAGGCTTCTTTGGCTGCAGAGTTCGGGCTCTAGGAACGTAGGTTCAGTAGTTGTGGCACGTGGGCTTAGTTTCCCCAAGACAAGTGGAATTTTTCTGAACCAGGGACTGAACCCATGTCTCCTGCATTGGCAGGCAGATTCTCAAGCACTGAACCACAAGGAAAGCTCTGCCCTTCCTTTCCATAATGGTTGGCTGTGGTACTCTGCAGCTTTTGGGAGCTGTGGGGAATAACAACTGATGGGTTGACCCTGATTTGTCAGAGAATTGGTTCCTAACTCCCCTGGGACTATGAGTCTGAACAAAGTCAGGGAGTCCTCTGAGGGAGGACAATTTAAAGTCTATAGAATTGGAAAGGTGCCAGGGGAAATCTTAAGAATATCGATAGGACCATTGATTTGAAGCAGAGCAAATTTATATCCTTCCTAATCTTAAGAGCTCGCAGTGGGCTTTGAAACCTTCCCAGTATAACATGGCATTTAAACTAGTTTTGCCCAAATGACTTGTTTGTGCCAAAATCCCCTCCCCCAACCCAAATCTCTTCCTTTTCCTGCTATCAATTCCACATCTCTTCTTAGATAGCTCTCCAGTACTCCCTCCCATAAGGATTTCCTTGAGGGTGTCTGTATGTGATGGCAAGACCTTTCCTGATCCATAATTCACAGTGTGATATGTTCCCACTTAGTTGGTTAATTATTCTTTGTGTTTACCACATGCACGGAGATTCTGAGTGGTTTCTCACACTGTCTTCTCCTGCCTCCCCTCCACGACTTTCCTTTATTCCATCTTCCTGTTGCTGGCATAGTGTCAGGTATCAAAGAGATATTTAATAAATGATCTTTATCAGCACAGAGGTAACAAAAGTCCTTAACTCAGTTAATGTCTTCTGTAGGCTTACTTGCTTTTGATTTTTATTTTTGGAGGTGTTTTTGGTACCTGAACACATCTCTGTGAAGAATAATAGGCTTATATTGTCAATGAATGCAGACCAGGGCTGAGCAGCAGGGGGGCCATTTATTTCAAATAAATTGTTCCAGTTGATTCCCAGCATGAGACACACAGGCTCAACAGCAGCAGATCGGACTTTTTTTCTTAAAAAAATTATTTATTTGTTTTTGGCGGTGCTGGGTCTTTGCTGCTGCGTGGCCTTCTCTGTAGGTGCAGCCATCAAGGGCTGCTCTCTCGTTGCGGTGCTCATTGTGGCTGCTCATTGTGGGGGCTTCTCTTGTTGCCGAGCATGGCTCTAGGTGTGCAGGCCTCAGTAGTTACAGTACCTGGCCTCAGTAGTTGTTGTGCACAGGCTTAGTTGCCCTGAGGCATGTGGAAACTTCCGGGACCAGGGATTGAACCCATGTCCCCTGAATTGGCAGGCAGATTCTTAACTGCTGGACCATGAGGGAAGTCCTAAGTCTGACTTCTGAAAAAATTGAAATCTAGACTTCTTAAAATGTTGACCAGCAACTCTAAAATGTTAGCATTGACAACATAGTATGGGGGAATGAATAGGACAGGAGGGAGCCCAGGAATAGACTCATGTAAGTGGAAATTTGATAGATAATGATAGTGGTGTTGCAGCAGGGAAAAGATGGAGTGGGAAAAGATGTTTGGGGGAAACTGTTCACAATCTTGACAGAAACAAAACCTTATCTTACCTTATACCAGATGTAAAAGCACTCTCCAGATAGACAAGGACTAAGTGTAAAGGGTAGAACCCTAACGGAGGCTGACGTCACAGCCCAGAAGAAGGGAAGGATATTTTAAGCAAGGCCTTCAAAACAGAGAAGTCAGAAAAGTAATGGATCTGACCATATTAAAATGAAGTATTTCTCATCAAGAAAAGAGACCATGGTCAAAGTTAACAGTTGGGAGAAGATAATGGCAAGTTTAAATGGATATCTAGCAAAGTGAGGGAAGCTACTGTGCAAATCAATAAGAAAGTCAAATAATAGAAAAACGACTGGAAAAATGAGCAAAGGCTGTGAACAGGCAATTTCCTGAAGAGGAAGCCTCTGGTTAATAAACTTTCCATGAAGTTAGTTTACTAATAATTAAGGAAATCAAGTCAAATCAATGAACTGTAACTTTATACCCATTAGATCACCCAGCTTCCTAATACTTGCCAACAATTATGGGCAAAGATGTGGGGAAATAGGAACCCGTATGTGGTCCCAATGAGTGTGTGAACCGGCAGAACCATCCTGGAGTAGTACTTGGCATCACTGAATGAAATCAAATTTGTATGTGTCTTTGAGTAAGTCCATTCCTGAGTATGAAACCAGGGAAATTCTTGCACATATCCATCCCTCCCAGTTTATGCCACTTATCCTGGTATAATTACTAATAGTGGTTCCATTCATGCACTCTCATAGTGTTCTGATCTGGATGATGTATTGATGACTAACCATTAGGTGGCATCATTACTGTGCTGGCCACAGCAATAGGGCATAGGAGACAACTCAGGTACCTGGTACTAAGGGAGTAGACAGAAGAAAATGTGTGGAATTTAGCATATTAAACCCATGTAGCAGTGAGAAGGGATGTACAGAGAAGGGAAGGGGAAAGCATGGTTTTCCAAACAAAGGGCATCAGCAGGTTGAATTAAGTATGTAAAGGATTACCTTGGATTTTTTTTTAAAGATTATTTTTAATGAACAGTTTTAGGTTCACAGAAAAATTAAGAAGAAGGTACAGAGATTTCCCATATATCCCCTCACTCCACATATGCACAGCCTCCCCACATAATCAACACCCCCCACCAGCGTGGAACATTTGTTACAGTTGATGTACCTACATTGATATATCATCATCACCCAAAGTTTATAGTTTACATTAGGGTTCACTGTTGTTGTAGCTTCTGTGGGTTTGGATAAATGTATAAAGATATGTGGGGCTTCCCTGGTGGCTCAGTGGTAAAAAATCTGCTTGCCAATGCAGGAGACATGAGTTCCATCTCTGGTCCAGGAAGATCCCTTGGATAAGTAAATGGCAATGCACTCCAGTATTCTTGCCTGGGAAATCCCATGAACAAAGGAGCTAGTCCATGGGGTCACAAAGAGTTGAAGACCACTTAGCGACTGAATACCACTTGGCTTCCCTCATCGCTCAGTTGGTAAAGAATCCACCTGCAGTGCAGGAGACCCTGGTTTGATTCCTGGGTCGGGAAGATCCCCTGGAGAAGGGATAGACTACCCACTCCATTATTCTTGGGCTTCCTTTGTGGCTCAACTGGTAAAGAATTCGCCTGCAATGCGGGAGACCTGGGTTCAATTCCTGGGTTGGGAGGATCCCCCGGAGAAGGGAAATGCTACCCACTCCAGTATTCTGGCCTGGAGAATTCCATGGTCTGTTTAGTCCATGGGGTCCCAAAGAGTTGGACACGACTGAGTGACTTTCACTAGTGACAACAACAACAACACAATGACATGTATCCATCACTATGGTATCATAGAGAGAATTTTTACTGCCCTAAAAATCCTCTGTGCTCCCCCCATTCACCCTCCCCTCCCAATTCAGCTTGGAGTTTTTTTTCTGGTGGTGGCATAGTAGCCCATTACTCAGATGCATTGAAACTTTCATAGCCACCCAGAGTTGGGAAGCCAACCCATTTCACATCCTGTATGTGGTTTCTGCAGTTACCAAGTGATCTGGTCTTCTCTCGACCTTAGCCCTTGGTTGTCTTAGACCTGAGTGGTCAGAGAGAATGTTCTCTGATGTCTTATACTTTCATGACCTGGAAAAGAACCTCTTCTGTATGAGAAAGGGGATCCTCAATGGTTCAAGCTACTGGAAACCATAAACATGAAGTCGGCTTCATTTTACTCCTTATTTCAAGGCTTCTTCTGCCTTGCCTTAACCATGCCAGGTTAATTTCCAACATCAAGGAGCGGTGCATCTTTGGTGACAAAGGGTTCTGGTGGGAAAGGCTTCTGTGTGAAAGCCTTTCTGGAACTTTGGAACTTTGCTATTCTGTTCTTGAGATACAGAAAGTAAGCAACGTTTGAACCAAAGTCCTCCTGGGGAAAGCCATGGGTGCTTTGACTGTTGTTGGTGCACTGTCACTCTCTCTCTCTCTTCTGGAGGAAGTGGTGCTGCCAGCGCCCTGCCAGGGTTGCAGCCATATCCCCAGTGGAAGTATCCAAAATGCTGGCTGGAGATGTTGCTGCGTCTCACAAGTTAGCAGCTTTGTGATCAGCAGATGGGATAGCAGGATAAAGACACAGCACCCTCGAAACAGCTGTTGTAACCATGGGAGAAGTATTTCTCCCTGCCTTTCCCCCTTTCCAGAGAACTGCCCTTGGGGGTCGGGGCAGGGGACGGGTGGCTCTCTACACAGAATAGGCCTGGTTTGGCAAAGATGAAGCACCTGGACCATTTCTGTGTCGCCGGAGTGCCATAGGGGATGGATGGCATTTTCCCTCTCTTCACTTCTTGATCTTTGGATTTTATTGCTGGCTTTGCCTTCTCCTGTTCTGTTCTGGTTCTTCCTGGGCTGTGGGCACGAAGAGGTTACAGCGGCCGAGAGCCTCTGGGCTGAGTTAGCACTTCCCTCTGCATCCACAAACCTCTCCAAGTAACGGGCATGGAAAGGGGGTGGCGGGCTGCGCAGGGGGAAGGCCGGCTGCCGTAGGTGGGACCAGGCTCCTTAACCACGTCTCACTCCCCTCCCCACAGCTCGGCGAGGAGGGGGACGAGGAAGGGAACAGCATCCGTCTGGAGTGAAGGATGAGCCGCGGGCACGTCGGTGGTCCAGAGCTGCAGAGTGCCTGCGCTGCGCCCGCCTCCCGCGCGCTCCGCGTCTGCGTCTGGCCGCCCCAGGGCGCGCGGACCCGGGACAGCAGCGCTCGAGCTGCCGGAGGACGGAGACCGGGGCCGGAGCCGCAGGAGCCCCGGGCCTGCGAAGCCGGGTCCCCGGGGAGCCTGGGGCAGCCTCGCTCGCGCCCTCCCTCCTGGCAGGAGCCGCCGCGGAGCCGGCCGCGCGTTTCCTGCAGCAGCCGGCCCTGGGACGCGGCTGGGGCCGAGCGGCTCCCCGGACCCGGCCTCTGCCAGGACTCAGTCACTCCGACCCCGGCCCAGAGGAGGCAACTCCTGCGGAGGGAAAACTTAGATTCTGCTTTCGCATCTAACTCCTTTCGCTGTGCAAGCTTTGCGGAACCCCCGAGGGTGTCATTTTGCACTTGACCGGTATTTGAGAAAAACTGCAGGGACTCGGCGTCGAGAGGAAGAACCTGGTAAACTTTGGGGGCGGGGATATTTTCTTGGAAGTGACAAGTCGCCTCCGACCTACAGTTCTGGGCCAGTGACGTCATCCTCGACTCAGCCGCTCTGAAGGGGCTGGACGCAGCCCCGGGACCAACAGCAAAGACCCCAGGAGAGCCATGGAATCCACGCTGGCAACATCCAGTTCCGCAGCCGGCCCGGTCACCTTCTCCCACGTCTTTGGGCAGCAGTGCCAACTTATGGAGGCAGGTAGGAAGCGTGTCCTGGGGGCAGTGGATGCTCTCCAGGGACCCCAGGGCTGGAGGCCCATGTGCCTCTCATCTGTGCTGAGATGTAATTTGGAATGTGAGGTTCAGCTGGCTAGTGATGTGCTTGCCAGGCATGTCCACTTTAAAGTTTCTAGGATGTGCCAGGGGACTGGATTGCTGCCTGGACAGGGCAAGTGAGGCACCCTTTGGTCTCACCACCTCTTTTCTTTGTGGCTACCTGGAGGATGTGAGAGGGTGCGTCAGGAGGGATCTGATGACACAGGGGCTGTGGTAACATTTGGGGGCAGCAGCCAGTCCTAGACGATATAGTTGCCTTTCTGTCCTCTTGCCTCTCTGCTGCTAAGAGTGGTGGTTAAGCCATGGGATTCCCAGTGCCACTGGAGTAACTTAGGTACTCCTAAGAGGGTCTGCCCCGAGCAGTCTCTCCCAGCCCTGGGCTCTGCTGTGGGCATTCCTCACTAGCCTTGGCTCTTCCATAGAAACCTCATCTTTCTTGCAGAATGGAAAACTTGGTGTGGGCTGCAGCCTTACCCTGTGCCAGCCATCTTGCTAGTTTGTGCAGTCGGCTGCAAAGAAAACTGGAGTGGGGGGAATAGCTTGGTGCAAATGCTCACTGTGGTGGAACCCACAGGCTGGTGCTTGATCCATGATTTCGATTACGTTGGAGTCGTAAGACAAAGGATGCCTGCTTTCTCAGAGTTCATTCCTGCTGTTGGGAAAAGGGCCATGTGTTTCTTCAGTGGTTTCCTGGGTATGAAAGTGTTAATCGTGCATTTGTGCTGTGAACCTCTGGAAGGTGGTGAGGAGAGCACTGCATTTAGGAGTCTGGGGGCTTGAGTTGGTGTCAGTGGTGGCACAGCCTTGGAAAACGGCAGACCCTATCCCTACTCCCTTCACTTGAGAATCCGTCTCCAGCTGCAAAACAAGAGAACTGGACTTGAGCTGCCTGGTCCTTCCAGGCCTCAGATTCTGCAAACTCAGAGGAACCCAGTGCAATGGAGAAAGCAAACTTGAACAGTGTTCAAGGATGGGGTGTATTTGCACAAGGTGGAGCCTCATGAATTAAGTGAATGAGGGCTCTGAGGTGGACTGCCTGGCTTTGAGTCCCAGCTTCACCTGTTACAAGCTGTGTGACCTCAGGCATGTTACTTAGCTTCTCTGTGCCTGTTAAGTGGGGATATTAGGCACTGCCTCATAGAGTCATTGCAGAGATTCAACATGTTAATACATGTTAGTGCATGGAAAGCCTTAGGATTGTGCCTGGTGACTAGCCAGCACAGTTTTAGTGTTAAGTGTTTGTTAGTGTTTCTAGGAGGCATGGGGGCTTCCCAGGTGGCGCTAGTGGTAAGGAACCCACCTGCCAATGCAGGAGACGTAAGAGACTTGGGTTTGATCCCTGGGTCAGGACGATCCCCTGGAAAGAAGCCATGACAACCCACTTCAGTATTCTTGCCTGGAGACAAGGCAAGAATGTCCTCCCATGTCCTCCCATGACAGAGGAGCCTGGTGGGCTACAGTCCATAGGATTGAAAAGAGTTGGACACTGCTGAAGCCACCTAGCACACACTGGAGGCATGGGGGGCTCTGGGCAGGCATCCTCCCAGGGCCTAGTCAAGGCATATCTGTTTGCTGAGAGCACAGCTGCCCATGGTTGTAGAAGATCAAAGCACTGATCACCACTCCCACCCCACGGCAGTGTAATTCTGGTTTGTCTCCCACTCTATATACTCAAGGAATATTTGACCTGCAATAGCTTAAGTGCCTTTACTGCTGTTATACATAAGAAGGAGGACTTGATTTTCCTGAAGTTTCACACATCTTTCTACTTCTCTGGAGTTACTGTGGGAAGGCAGATGATCGATTTCTAGAAGACAGTGCTGTTCCCTGTGGCTTTATCCTCTAAGCTTTTGGAGGCCTCCAAGCCTAAATCAGGTCATGGAATTCTCTGTCTCCTTAAAAGAAATCCTTTACGTCAGGCAAGCAGTGCAACATGGAATAACAATGACCAGCAGTCTCAAGGGAGAGCTCTCTCCCTGAAGACAGGCAAGGAGGGATAATTAACCTCCAATTTAAAAGCCCTCACTCAGTTAGGTGAAGGGGGTTGAGAGCAAACACTCTTCAAGCAAGGCGTTTGTAGTCCAGTAGGTATCACAAATGAGATCTTAAATGAATGTGAAAATGATTCCATGACTCCAGGGGTTCACAGGAGCTCCATTCATCACATCTGTCCTCTAGTGAGAGACACATATATTCACTGAGTATTTACTATGTGCTTTCTCTGCACAATGCCAGGAACCATCGAGTCTGAAGAGTAAGTTACAGCCTTTATGCAACTAGATGAAGATCTGGTTAGTGGTAAATGTAAAAGTGTATTGAAGAAAAGAGAATTATATAGATTGTGACTTTTAAATGGTTCTGTTTCTGAACAAACATTCCTATATATTTTACATAAGCTCTCTTAATTTTCAAAAATCTTAACCAGGTCATGTGAAAGGGCTCAGGCGCTTTCTTCCGGGCACTTCTGATGCTACATGGTGTCCTGGTTGTCTCATATCCTACACCACTGCACCATACACACGTCTTTGTTGCTTCAGGAAGCATTTAGAGTGGATCTGAAAGTCCTAGGAAGAACAGAGGTCCCACTGTGTGTCCAGATCCATTGCACCTGATCATAGTAGGGAAGATCACACCTGCCTCATCTTCATGGCCACCTTGCAGGGAGATGCGTATTTCCTACTTAATGGGTGAAGTTTAGATGTTGGCAAAGGTGGGATTTAAGCCTTAATCAGCCCACCCCAAAGCCTGTACCCTAAAAAGGCAATCCCATGGCTTCTGCAAAGAGTTTTTTTTTTTTAAATTATGTATTTCTGAAGGATTTGGAGGAGAGAGCAGCATTTTGAATCTTTCATGGGCTTCGATGCTGTTGCTCACCCTTTTCCCTCTTCATGGTCCCTCACCCCACCTCAGAATGGGTCATACTATGACATTCTCTTCTCTTTCTAACCCCCAACTCAAATTTCTTCCCCTTTCCTTTGATCCTAAAATGGTAGGTGAGATGTTAATCTGGCCAGGCAAGAATGACCGATGGGGCCACCATTCTCCAGTCTTCCTGCCTGACCTTCTGCAGGTGGGAGCCTGAGGCCACATTCCCACTAACTGACCTCACAGTATCCTGCATCACTCTGACTTCCAGCTGTTTCTTGCATTTTACTGAGGATGTTGGGAGACACTTTGGGGGGATGGACTGTATAGACTCAAGCTGGTGTACTGCTGGTCTCTGTAGCTGAATAACTCCTTTATATCCTCTCCTTGGACTGCTTCCCAGGTGACGCAGTGGTAAAGAATCTGCCTGCTGATGCAGGAGACACAAGAAATGCAGGTTTGATCCCTGAGTTGGGAAGATCCCTGGAGAAGGAAATGGTAACCCACTCCAGTATTCTGGTCAGGAAAAGACAGGGGAGCCTGGTGGCCTCGTCCCTGTGTGCGTGCCAAGTCACTTCAGTCGAATCCGACTCTTTGTGACTGTATGTACTTGTGGCCTGCCCGGCTCCTCTGTCCATGGGATTCTCCATGCAAGAATACTGGAGTGGGTTGCCATGCCCTTCTCCAGGCCTACAGTCCATGGGGTTGCAAAGTGTTGGACATGGCTAAGCACGAGCACACACGCCCTTGGACCCCAAAATGTTTGACCAAGGTGCCACTCTGACCCTGGCGTTCGGCCCTGTCTCTGCTGAGGGCTCTTGACTCATCCCTCAGCCTGGCATTCTGTTGTTTGGGGGACTCCAGCTTCCAGGCCAGGGCTTCTGGGGTCTTTATATCTTGTGCGACTTGCTAAGCTGCCTCTGTGTCATCCTGGTGGATCTCCTACCTGTACCATTTGGATGGAAAGCATTTCCACAGGGTCACTGTGCTTGACCAGAAGGATTAAAGTCATTCTGTCCGGTATGTCCTGCCGACGCTGCAGGAATCCAGACCCAGCTCAAGGGGGAGGGTGGATGGGAGGAGAGGGCAAGGAGGCGACAAGACCTGATCACCTGGATGCTGCGGTTCTACATGCCTCTGAACTGCCGCTCAGAAGTCACTCACAAAGTCCCCTATTTGCACCATCAGTTCTGGATCAGCCTCCAGCTCCTTACCATGAAGAAACTCAAAATAAATGCAAGTCATGTCTGTCTGTCTGTCGTCTGACAAGTCAGGTCAGTACCTGGAGCCGGGATCTGGTCATCTTTTGACTTTACTGCCTTGTTCGTTCTGAAGGCTGTCAGCTGAGCCACCTTTTTGCCTTTTGAACAATATAGGAATCCATCTAGGTATATAACCTATATGTACTTGGAAGTCACTTGCCATAGTTGTAACCAAGAGAGGAGAGAACTAGGTTTATGGCATCTGCTGTGAGGTGAGCATGTTGGTGGTTTTGCAAAAATCAAACAGATAAACATGAGCCAAGAGGATAATCTTGTTTCCTGTCTTTTCATCTGTGGGCATGGGAACGCAGCTTTCAGGTTTCCTTTTAGATCCCCAAGGGGTGGTCGTCTAGGACCTGCCTGGCTGTGTCTCCTGTGTGAATAGTATGTTTTGACATTTGCAACGAAGAATCACCATAGTGACTACTGGCAGTTGAGTATAACCATAGCAGATTCTTATTGGGCGCTTATTCTGGGATGGCCATTATGCTAAGTGCCTACATTGTATCTAGTTTCATCCTGGTCACATCCTCATAAGGCACATGAAATCATCCCCATTTTATAGATGAGTAAGCTAAGGCCCATGAAGAAAAGGAAAGTTAGCGGTTGATCCAGGATTCAAATTCAAGGCATCTG